AGCATAGATTTTTTCCTTATGTTTTTTCCTCAGCTTATTTGTGCATACAATACAGATAAGGCAGAGCTGAATTTTCAGGGTTTGTGTGAAGGATTTAAATGTGTGTAAGAAACTGCTGATGTAGCTTAAACAGTGATAGAGATTTCTCTAAGACGCTAATAATTAGGATTCATTGTATCACATTCCTTAACGATAGTGCACTTTTGGTGAGGCTTGTGAGTCTTTTGTTCAAATAAAACATTGACAACGCTTGCAGAGAATAGCAATGAATCAATAAATGTGTTTTAAGACACTTCACTGTAGAGTCAGCGTAAGCTTTCCTTGCAAGGAGAGCCTCGCTGGATAAGGTACCTTGGCAGAGAGAAGATGATACTTAACAAGAGCTGCTAGAGAACTCCCAGTCTGGCAGCTCACCAAGAGCGCACCTCTTCTGGGGTAGCTTTGCTCTGAGGGCAAGGTCTGTTTGTGTGCTACATGGACATTAATCTTCGTCTGGTGATAGTATTAGGTCAGGGAAGGAAAAAAAAAAAAAAGCAGCCATGGAATGGGGGCGGCCACCAGCGCTGCTGGGACCAGAAGACAGAAGGCAAGTGCTGCCTGTTCTGGTGTCGTGCCAGAAAGAAGCTGGGCTACTGATCCCAGGCTGACTTTAGAGAAGAAATGGCATCAGGGGAAGAACCTCCAGGAAAAAGTAAGAACTGAAGCAGCTGGGTAAGAGGCAAACCGCTGTCTTTACTGTAATTTTGTGGAATGTTTGACAAAACAAGGGACATTTTTGCCTGCTTTTTGACCCGTTTCTCACTGGTAGTGAATATGATCTGTGCTGTGGGGTTGTCTTTTCATGCACATTTTCAGTTGAGGGCAGAGGACCCTGTATTTCACAATTCCCAGTTTTTCCTGTGCTGTAGGCAACAGGCAATTCAGCATGGATACCACATGGGAGAAAAAGTGTAAATGTGCAGTAGGCGATTTGTGGTGCATCATTCTGCTGCAGATATGTGAAACAAGGGCAATGTATGCCACTTAAAGAACCTTCATGAAGTGACAAGCATGTGTGTTGGTGCATGAACTATTCTGAGAAGGTGGTAATAACCAAGAACTGATTATTAACTCCCTTGCATGATCTGTCCTCGCATTTTCTTCACACTTTCAAATATCTCGGTAATATAATGGCTGTAGGTCACGCTATTACATCTCAAGGCTGGGAAAGGCAAAGATATATCTGTGATGTCTTATGTGGCTGCATCCTACTTAAACACAGTTGTTTCAGCCTAGATTATAGTTGAGACTCAATAGGGGACCACAGTAACTTTGGATGCTGTAGAAGGTGCAAGTCCTTTGGAGTTCCTCGCTGGTGTTAATATCCACGTCTTCCTAACAGAATAAACTGTAAATGTGTGATGACTTTTTAGGCTTGCAACTGAACCAGATTAGTGCAGAAGAGGTAGCAGAAACTGTAGCAAATTTCATCATTCATAATAAACAGGACTATTTGGACAAATTACTTCTCACTTGAGAATACATCTCGGCTCTACTCCTCCTCTCTGTTAATTTTCTCATCAGCTCTAGAAAGGGAAGGTTTGCTACTAGTGGCTTGGAAAAATATTTTTGTTTTCTTATATATTACCAGCAAGTTCGTGTCTAGTCAAGTCTCAGCGGCCTGAAATAATATTAAAATCACATAACTCCCACCTTCTGCTTCCGTATGTCAAGCTCAGCGTTTCATTTACAAACAAAACGTCTGTAAGACTCTTTCCACTGTTCTTAGGAGGGGAACAGGTGACAGAACAAACTTCAAGAAAGAGATGAAAGAGGATGCATCATCCAAGGAGATGAAAGCTGCAAAATGCCGTCAAGACGAACATTTCTGGGTTTTCCCCAAACACAAAACTGACCTGCTATTTTCATTGCTTTTCAGGGCCATTTATCTCAGCACACACAAGGACCCATCAAAGAAGTAACACAGATGCTCAGTGGATGCGAATGTGCAGGTGCAGCAGGACTCTCCTGC